ATCAGACTTTGGCCACTTTGAGATGTCAAAATGTTTTTTTGGGTTGTGTAACCATTAGCCAATAACCAACCAAGGTAACCCCCCCCCCCACCTCCACCTTATCACCTGAATCTCCTCCTAGAGCACCATTGAGTTCTTTTTAACCAAATCTCTCTCAGAGGGGCGTGGGGAGGGGCTCCTTATTTTCATCTAAAGTAACAGACAGAGAATCAGCACTTTGGAAACAAGGCTGAAACAGAGGGGATTATGGGTAATGCTGCAATGATCTGTTTGGTTGTTTGGAGCCAAACACTTTAAGGACATGTTTGTATTTATCTGAGACCTATAATATATTGATGAAAAACAGTATAATAGGAGACCTTTGAATAAAAGTCCATATAAACAACTTAGATATATGTGTTGTATTCCTAAACAGTGAACGTTCTCATTTACTGTTAGCTGGCATTTTATCACATCTCGTATTCTGTATTAAACAATTCAGCTCCTTTCATTGAGTTTGCTGAATTCCTTAATGCATATATATTTTTTTCTTTTTAAGATTTGCTCTTTTTTTGGGGTTTTATCAGATACTTTGAAGATCATCCAAAGGAGGCCGAGGGAATCGAACCCCTGCCAAGGACACATTGATCCTCGGCAGCGTCCCAATTGATCACTTTTCTGAGAGTTTAAACCAATTCAATTGATTTCAAATTCTGCTCCTGGTTTTTTTATATCTTAACTATTTGTGAGAGTCAGCGTCTCAGTATTAGTGCTTCATTTAAAATGAAATGACCTGCTTTAATAAACTCTTTCTCTTCTTCGTCATCATGTCCTCCACTGTCAGAGCATCAGTATTTAATGAATCAGATGAAATGTCCGAGCGTGCTGATGACTCATCCGTATCAAAACAGAAAGGAGCTCACTCTCGAAGGGTTACAGTAACTTTGGATTTATTGTAAGACGAGTGGAAAGCTATCGACAGCGTGAAGCGAGGCAACGTGAAAAGAGACCAGGGAGAAAAATACCAAGAGACTCGTGGTTAAGGTCAGGATTTGTTTAAGAGGAGAAAAGCACTTTCTCAGAACTCAGAAGAAAGACCAGGCGGAGATTTACAAAGGGCGGACGTCATAGCTCAGCTTTTCATTGAGAGTTGTGTGGCCTTGAAGGAAAGTCGGTTGCCAAGAGAACATTAGATTTACATATATTAAATAATTCATAAAGAATAACAGAAATATATAAAATGACACCAAAAATGTGATTGTGTGTGTGTGTGTGTGTGTGTGTGTGTGTGTGTGTGTGTGTGTGTGTGTGTGTGTGTGCGTGCGTGCGTGCGTGTGCATGTGTGTGCCGGTCCATCTTAGGTTTTTTACTTCCCCGGAGAACAACTTTTGTGGAGATTAACAAAAAAAAACTCTTAACATTGTCATTCATGAAGTCCTGATCGCGGCTTAACTAAAAAGGTGAGCTAATAGTGCAGGACACGTTTTAAAGAGGTCATACCCTGTTCATTTTCAGGAGATATTTGTATTTAGTGTCTCTACTGTAAAATGTTTCAATGCTTTAATGCTCAAAAATCTCTTAATTTTGTCATACTGGCTGTACTGCAGCACTTCTTTTCACCCTCTGTCTGAAACCAGAGCCCAGTCTGCTCTGATTGGTCAGCTGACCAGTTCTATTGTAAGTGGTCAACCACTTAAAGATTTCCCGCCCCTTAGCCTATCACGTACAATGTGTTGGAGCACTAGCCAATAGAGGCACACGTGTTACATAATGATGTCACTAAGTGTGCAGTGTGCGTTTACTGGATTAGGACGGTGGTTTGGGTTACACGCCGTTTGTTTACGGCTTATTAGGTATGTTCGTTCAGTTGTTGATCTCATGTTTTGTTGTTCTTTTGTTAGTCAGCTGATTTCATAATTTCTTCTACGTGACTTGGTTTTCTTTTATTGTGTTACGCATAGGCGATTGTGACATTCTTTTTTTATTTACAACGGAGGACGATTCATTTAATACGGTTTATGTCGTATGTGTGTACCTGTTTTTTTTTTACTTACTTCTGTTTTGTCTTTGAGACTAGCTATCCTAAGTGTGTATTTTTCTTTTTTTTTTCTGTCGGGTTGTAATAACAATTCGCGAAATTGAAAGGACATTGAGACAATAATATTAAAACACACGGTACATTTCCCAGGACGTTCCGATTTTAGGTCTAAGGGGATCTCCCTGATAGAGGGGGTGTGTGAGGGGGATGGACTTTTGCAGGATAACGTGTAGGAAAAAATACGA